ATAGAATTAAAGTAAAAAAAAATAGACATACAAGTAATAATTGCTCTTCTAAATTAGCGTTTATCCGTCGTTTCGATACCTGCATTAATTTATTACGAGAATTTCTTAGATTTAAATATTTTACTAACTACTATATTTCATATTTTGAAACAATACTAACCATTTATTTATAATAATGTACATGATTGGTAGTTAATTTTGAAAAAATATTTATAATATTTAATACTAACCATTTATTTATAATAATGTACATGAGTGGTGTTAATTTTGAAAAAAAATATTTATAATATTTTGAAACAATAATATTAATCTTTCAACTAATCATTTAGACCACAAAATAGTTGAAGACACCCCTATAGGCAATGATCATGGAGTGGCGGCGAGCTTCTCGGAAGGCGGTGGAGGAAGCGGAGATGAGGTTTGTAGCAAGAGAAAGAGAGGACGGCCGAGGAAGCAGTCGGTGGGGGGCCGACAACAATTTGCAGAGATGCCATCGGAATATTATATCTCTGCATCGAAGCCGAGAAGAGGCCGCCCTAAAGGATCCACGAAAAACTTGGCTGCCTCTTTAGGTAAATTTTGTTTATTTTTTTCTTGATTATTTAGTTGTTTATATAAAAAATATTGCAGCATGCATGCATTTGTGAATCTGCCGTTGCATAAATTTTATTTATTAATTTATTTATTATATACATATATTTATAATTTATATATATTGGCATGGTAAAATCAATTTAGTTCCTCTAGGGCGTGACATTCGTGCAATTCTAGTGCATCTAAGAATACTCCCATTTTTTCAATATATATACATTTTTTGTTTATAATTTTTTTTAAATCAATTTTCCTTATTAATTATCGAAATATATACTTTTTTATTCCATATATTTATTGTTAACCGGGGAAATATTTCTCGTAATATTCAAGGTGGAATTGTTGGGGAGACAGCGGGAAGAAACTTTACTTTCCACACCATTACAATTGAACATGGAGAGGTACAATATATATTTACTAGATCAATTTATGTGTTATATTTGTGCGCATATATAATTCTATTGTCGATACATTTGTTCTCCGAACGTACAAGATTAATTAGTCGTTATAGCTACGAGTAATATATAATTATTATATTGTTTATCTTTCATTGTTTGATCGACCAGGACATAGTGCAAAGAATCAGGTCATTTTCTGAGATGACTCCCGATGCAATTTGCATTATCTCAGCTTCGGGTACAGTATCTATTGCTGAAGTTTACGTGCCTAATCCTCGCCGTGACATTTTCCGATACGAGGTATATATATATATGATCTCTACGTTTTGTTCGTACTTGTAATTATTTTCGTAATTAATTTGATCTGACGTACTGGTGGTGCAGGGGGAGTTGACTATAATACACTTAAATGGATCGCATACATATGATGGAATAAGAGGTGCTAAAAAGTGCCTATTAAGTGTACTTTTGGCTGATTCCGAAGGCCGATGCTACGGTGGTGCTGTAGCCGATTCACTTATTGTTGCCGGCCCAACTTCGGTAACCCGACCTCTCAATATTTTATTTTTAATTTTCTTGTGCAAAGATTGTGCTTAGCTTGTTCATGTTTGTACATATTGTATGTATTTAAACAAACACAATAAACGCACATGCATATGTATAATTGTGTGCACAATTCACACAAAAAGGGGTTTCCCCCCCTCATTTTAGCCACACAAAATAAAATTAATAATAATAATCATCATGAATATACTTTTAAATTATATATGTTTAGTTACTTTAAGTTTCATTTCTATAACTTTTTTAAGAATTCAACACATTAAATTCCATTTTAATTCCCAGGTTATAATCGGAACATTTATTCAAATTTTGAGGCATCGAAAGCGTAGAACTGCAGCCCCAGAAAATCAGCCACCCGCAGCTCCGTTTCCCCGATCCGCTAGTAATTGATGGTTCGAGTGAAGATTAGAGTACTTAACAAAATTTGAAGCTAAAACAAAAACATTTTTATTTCTATTTTCTTGAATTAATGTTTTAATTACTTGACATTATATTTGTTTTTAGGGCTTAATTGCTCATTTGTTGTATCATTTATGTTATTGTTGTTTTTTTTATAAATATTTTACCTTGTTATAATGTTACATTTATTTTTAAACTATATAGAGAGTATGGCATTGCATGCATTTTATAGCTAGATATATATATATATATATATATATATATATATATATATATATATAATAATATTTTCATCATATATTTTAGGGTAATTCCACGTTAGCCCTTGTACTTTGGTTGGATATCACTTTACCCCTTGTACTCTCAATTGTATCGATTTGTCCCCTTGTACTTTGATTCGATATCACTTTACCCCCTTCTACTCTCAATTGCATCGATTTGCCCCCCCTGTACTTGAAAAATTATCTCAATGTGGCCCTCGCCGTTAGTTTTCAGACGTTTGACCTTAACACCGTTTGATCTAAGTTTGAAAATTACTAAAAAGTCATCCCTCCCAGTTTAAATAATTATTAATACAAAAAAATATTGTGGCTGGCGTCGTGGACTATGTTTTCTAGCTGTCTTGATTTTTTTATTATTTTATTTTTTGTTGTTTTTTTATTTTTTAATTTTTTTAATTTTTTGGGTAAATTCCACTTTACCCCCTCGTACTCTGCCCGAGAATCACTTTACCCCCTCGTACTCTCAATTTCATCAATTTACCCCCTTGTACTTGTACAATTTCTCA